TAATATCCATGACATAATTCCGCCGGAGTGAACTCGCTGACTCATGGAGATCGGCGGGCTGATTTTCGGGTGTGCACTTTATAAATGGATATGACTTGGGACCCCAGTCGTTTTAATGTCAAGTTTGAGTGGTCCTGCACTATCAGTCCAACCCCATATCCATGAATTACGCGAATACTAATAAATCCTTGCTACATCGGCCGTCGCGCAGATGCCTAAGGAAATGGGTCGTTTTTTCTGCTGATACTGCAGGCGGATACGCGAAAAAATGCTGCTACATACGCCTCCCTCCTTTCTTCTTACCTTGCACATACTCTCCTCCTCCCCGTAACAAATAACCCATTACTTTCTTCAATTCAGTTCTCCATCATCCATAGAGTTGCTCGCTAAAGCAACCGAATGCCTCCGCGCAGAGCGCTCAACGTTGGGTGCTGGAACATGCGTACCTTGCTCGACCAGAATACGAATGAGCATACCCAGAGACGCACTGCACTAGTCGCGATGACAACAATATTGCGGCATTCAGAAAGACCCGGTTCGCTGAGCAAGGTAAGTTGTGCGAAGCTTTTGCTGGCTGCACATTCTACCAGGTGAGCAACGCCGCATCAGCACCAGGTGAACATGGGATCGGATTTGAAATATCCGATCGCCTAAATGGCCAAATGGTAGGTGAACCAAAAGGCATCAACGCGCGACTGATGACTGTTCGCCTACGATTCGGAAGAGGTAAGTTTGCCACCTTTATAAGCACGTACGGTCCGACCATATGTTATCCTGATGACACGCGTGCTCAAGTCTACACTCAGTTATCCTCCGTGATACGGCCTGTGCCGGGGAGCGACCGACTATTTCTGCAGGGTGATTTCAACGCGCGCGTTGGGCGTGATGCATCGGTATGGACAGATGTTATCGGTCTGCATGGCATGGGTTCAGCGAATGCGAACGGTGACAGGCTGCTCTCACTGTGTGCCACTCAAGTTCTGAGGATCACGAACACTCGGTTTGCACTGAGTGCGAGTGATATAGCAACTTGGACGCACCCACGGAGTGGTCACGCTCACCTGCTCGACTATGACATCGTACGTCAGCGTGACATGCGTGAAGTGCGCATGACGTGTACTGCGGGGAGCTGAGTGTGGCACTGTCCACAAATTGGCGCTTTCTAAATTGTTCACAAAAGGGGCGGAAAAGTGCTTACTGTGTGCCTGCCGTGAATCAGAGGCGTAAATTTAACATTCTCCCACGGTACTGTGGAGAAAGTGATTGGGCTGGAGAAGGCAACGAATGCAAGCCTTTGTGATGTGGACTGCATAGTGGGCGACCTGTAGCACCACATTCGCCACCAGGTGACAGCTGCTGCCGAGGAGACGATCGGGTGCACAAATTGTAAGCGACCTGATTGGTTTGATGAGAACAATGCAACGATTAGCGCATTGGTGTCAGAGAAGAACGCAGCATTTAGTGCATGTGTGGAAACCCCAGTGATGTGGGGAAGAAGAGTCAGTCTCACCAACTGACTACGGCGACTGACCCGAGAGCTGCGTCGCATTAAAATGCATGGTGGACGGAGAAGGCGAGGCAGATGGAATGCTACGCCGAACACCGCAAACACAAGGAATTCGTTGACTCCTTGAAGGCAGTGTATGGACGGAGATTGGAGCCGCTGAGGACGCTGATCGACGGTTGTTCAGGCGCCACCTGCACACAGACTGCAGACATAATGCAGATTTGGCAAGAACACTTTGACTGTCTCTTGAACAACTGCTCAGAGATCGACTGGACTGTGTTGCACAAGCTGCAACAGCAAGATGAAGACGTGTCTTTCCGACACACCGACACTGGATGAGACGCAGACAGCACTTGCTCAGCTGCGAAACGGCAAGTGTGCCGGTGCCGACGGGACCCCGTCCCCAATATTGACAAACAGCGGACCTGCATTGGTGACTGCGCTGCATCATTGGGTGCAACGCATGTGTTTTGAAGAGGAGGTGTCCTCTGGGCTGAAGGATGCCCATGTGCTACCACTATACAATAGCAAATCGAGTAAGCAATGATACAAGAATTATCATGGCATCAACTTGCTGCGTTGTGTTTGGAAAGAGACCGCCCTGCAATTGCTCTGCCGCCTCGTCACTCAGGTCGTTGAACCGAAGGTGGCGGAAAAGTAATGTGAATTCCACCCGGGCCGCAGCAATATAGCTATGGTGTTCTTAGCTCGTCGGTTTAAGGAGTAGTGTATTTAGCGACACCAGCCATGGTACTGACCATTTGTTGATTTCACCAAGACATTTGATACGGTGAAACGCCAGGAACTTTGGCTGGAGTTGGGTAACTTTGGTTTTCCGTGTAAGTTTGTAGGTTAAATTGGATGTCCGCACAGTGGTATGCGGTTGAGCGTGCAGCTGAGTGGACAGACTTCGGATGACTTGCAGTTGTCACTGGTGTGAAGCAAGGCTGTGTCTTAGCTCCTGCCCTCTTTAATATATATCTCCATGCAATGATGTATTGTGCTTTTGATTCCGCTTGTGCTTACGATGTTCATGTGGAGCACCGTATTGATGGTGCATTGCTGAACATCCGTCGTTTTGGTGCGAGACCGCTAGTCTGTGAGACAACTATCCGTATGTTGCTGTTTGCTGACGCCTGTGCGTTGTTTGTGCGCAGCGCGGATGAGTTGCAGCACATGACTAGTGTTCTGGCTTCGACAGCGGCCAAATTCGGGCTCATTATCAACACAAGCAAGGCTGTTTATCTTTTCCAGCCTTCAGTTAGAATGTAGCCTGTGGGCCTTCCTCAAATGCTAGTTGCCGACGAAGTGTTGGAAAGCACTCCGAGATTTTGATACCTAGGGAGCCTAATAACAACCGACCTGCAGACTGTGAGTGAGGTGTGCATCCTAATTTCATAGGCAACTGCAATATTTTGCAAGCTGGAATATCGTGAGTGGAACAACTACCAGCTCAGTGTCGTAACGAAGCTGTTGGGACGCAAGTCTCTGATGCTGCCTGTTCCTCTTTACGGCAGCGGAACATGAACGCTTATCGGAAGGATCTCCGTTATCTGGAACGCTTCCATCAGCAGTGTCTGCGCCGTATTATGCGCATCGGCTGGAGCGACCGAGTTGCAGACACGGAGCTGTTCCGACGCAGTGGCATGTATGCAGTGGACTGAATAATTCTGCTGAGGCAACTGATGTGGCTCGGGCATATTCGCCTCAATGGATTCGACCAGGATACCGAAACAGCTACTTTCTGGTCAGCTGAATGCATGGAAACCGCACGTTGGAAAACCGATGTTACGTTACTCCGACATGATCAAGGTGAGTTTATCACGAACTAATGTTGATTTCAGGTGTTGGGAATCGAAGGCGTTTATCGGCGTG